CTCTAGAGCGGACCCAGACGCCGACCTATACGGACCCGGACCTATAATCAATACATTAATAGGGGATTTCAATTTTGACGGGGCGATTCTATTTTAACCGCCGCTGACAGGGGGCGAAAGAGAAGAGTGAGCGATACAGGGAGAGAAACACAGAAGAAGAGATGAGAGAGCGGCAGAGAGAAGCGGAGAGGAAAGTGTGAAGAGAAGAGTTAGCGAAATAGGGAGAGAAGCACAGAAGAAGAGACGAGAGCGCGGGAGAGAGAAGCGGAGAGGAGAGTGAACAGGCGTGACAGGAGAGACAAATAATGACACATGGCGCTCTCCAAGAAGAGGAAAGTGGACAGTGAGAACAGAGCTTTTAACCCTGAGTGGACTCATTCATGTTCATCCTGCCCACTGGGAGCACAGAACCAGTGTGTCTCATTTGTTCAGAGACCGTGGCGCTCATTAAAAGTGTCAAAACGCCACTATGAGACAAAACACAAAGTGTTTGACCAAACATTCCCTCTCAAGTCAGAACTGAGGTCACAAAAAATAAGCAGTCTCAGAGCCCAATATGATCAGTCCACCAGGATTAAAATACTAAATATGGTTCCAGGGCAGGTTAACCGAGGCTAACCAATGAGCACCTGCATGTGTGTATGAGAATAGCCCTGACACCATTTCAGCCCAGATTTACAAACTCCTGGCAGGACAAGCTCCAGCTCAATTCTCACACTGAATTTAAAAAAAGTGAGTGAGGGACTGCAATATAAGAGGGAAAGAAAGAGAAACTTTAAAACTGTTCAATTGTTATAATGTGTAAAGACTGATATTGTTCTATAATCGGCTGAAACTGTTAAGTCATGATGTGAAACGGTTCACAAAGAAAAAGAGAAACTCAAGCTGCTGCTACACTTTATTTTATTTATCTCAAATTAAGCACTTTTAAGATGCACATATTTTCAAAAGCTATTTTATTTATTTTCTCTATTTTATTTTTAAATGCAGCCCGAGAGGAACATTACACATATCCACAGTATTTACTGTATATCTGTATAGTTCAATGTTAATTGACAAAAAATATTGTTGTTTTTGAATTGTACTTTCTTTATTTGATTAGCAGTCAGCTGTTGATTACATGCAGACGTTGATAAAGCTGCAGCTACTTCAATATATATCACACTAATTCATAAAGCAAGTTAGACATTTTGAAGCTCCGGACCTTTGCATGGGGACATTTTCTCTAACTGGACCTCGTTGAATTTGAGTTGAATACCCCTGCTCTAGAGTATCCTTTTTGTTACCTTGAGAATAATGTAATTACTATTGCTCCACACTACCTCTTTTTAAATCTGTACAGCTCTTGACTTTGAATATAGTATGTGTCTTATTTTATTCTATTGTACTCTACTCAGTTTCTCACATTATTAGATTTTCTGTAAAAAATAAATAAAATAAATTGTTTACAATGGTCTTAAATATGTATTTTTTAAATAGCTTATATAATAGTACTTTTCTTGCCATGTATTCTTCTTTCTGTGTCTTTGTATGCACCATTTACACAAAGGCAAATTCATGTGTAAACCTACTCGGTAATAAAACCGATTGTGATTCTGATGACATTAAATGAATGTAACAGCACCAAAACACACATAGATTTCTGTGTGAATGGGTTCATGCACATGGAGAAATCATGGTCCTACTTTGAAGATTGTATAATTTGAAAGTGGTGTGAAATGAACTCTTAATTATTTGTCTTCACTGCTGCTGTCAATCATCTCGTCCCACCTCAGCAGGGGAGCTGCTCTGTGTTTGAAGATGATTCGAAAAGCTGTAGGGACAGTTGCTATCCTTCCATTGGCTGTCCTCATTTCCATATAAAATACTATGTTTTTAGTTATGATGTGATATTGGAAATTGGATCGTCTAATTTAAGTTTAAAACAACTTTCAAGACTTGATTGCATTTGTATAGTACTGTATCATGTCTGTATCATCTTTTGTTTCATTTGTATTTTCTTTGGTTTTACACGCTCGAAAAAAATAAATAAACTAAACTAATTACCATTTCTTATTTAAATGATATTTTACAGATTTGTTTTCCTGTCTGTCATTGATATTCCTGCCTCTTTCATATTTATTTTGATGTAAATCACTTTCTAACTTCAAAGGTCAGTGTTCCTCTCTCTTCTCTCTGGCTCTATTTGCAACCTGTTAATCCCCAAGGTCCCCCTCGGCGGGTACTTGTTTTTCTTTCTTTCACAACACTGTGTCTCAGGGGATCTTAATATTTAAGAACCTATTAATGTGTTATACCAGATTAACGGGAATAATCTCAGCTAACTGACGATACAAACCATTTTTACCAAAACAAAACACAAGTCTCATAAGAAGCATCTAAATGACCCCTGAGCGAAAAATGCTAACGGACATTGGCACAGAACTCAAGATAAAAGATACCCTTATTACTTATCGTAGCTGCACATACAATATATCCAATTAAAGCTGAGACTCCACAGATTATTTAGCCATTGTTATTGTTGTTATTGTTATTATTATCATCATCATGCGTCGCTTTTCACCTTCTTCTCCAGTAGGACTCAGATGAGGGTGTTGCACTTTTCTTTTCCTTATACATGTGATGTTTTGGTGTTGTTTTGTTTCTTTCCGTTAACCGTCAAGTGGGAAATAAGTATTTTTTTGTGTGTTTCTTAACACATAACAGTATCCTAAGATAGTCATGTTTTGTGGCAATTATTGTATTATTATTTGGTTTTGCGTACCATGAGCGGGACAAATAAAAATGAAATCACTGAGTGATCCGAACTCGCGACAGGGGAAGCAAACGCAGACATCACAACACATACCTTTACGGAGCTTTTACGGGAGTTCGTCTCACCGTAGCTGTCAATCTGATCAAAAGACTGGTTCAATGGCATTAAAACGAGAAAACGCAGCTGAATCGGTTAATCCATAGGTTGATAATGTTTCTGTGGAATATTTTTTTTAATTTATAATCCATAATTCAATTTTTATGTAAAAATCCGAGAGTAAAAGTTAGCTGCTAATGGTAGCCACCAGAGTTATCGTAGCTTCCGGTTTTGGCTATGCGTCAGTCTTACACACACACATTACCAAATAAGGAGTATGTGGGAGTTATCCTCGATTCCATTGGCTCTGACGGTTAGAAAGAGATGTCAATCAGTAAAATCGAGGAAGGGGGACCAGAGATAGGTCAAATCCACCCAAATGACCCCAGAAGTGTTTTTTTGTTGCTAAATCTCTCTAAAAAGGTCAAATGTCACTTGTTTTGCATCAATCTTGATACAGGGTACTTATTATATGTTGTAGTTTGGATTCCTAAAGCTTTTAGTCTACCATCCCATCATTCAAGGGTGGTTTTCACTAAGTAATTTTTTTTTTTTGGACGGACACAATAATTTAATTTTTTTTACTGTGTTCAATCTGAATTTACTTTAAAATAAAAACATCTATATTGATTCTGACACTTCTACATCCAACTCACAGGTGTAACCTTGCTTTGAGAAAAAAGATTATGAATTTAACCCTTTTTAGAAGGGAAGATATGGTCATTTGTTCTGGGAATGTCATTGTTGAGCCTGAGACCTGAAAAACAGGCTCGGGCCTTAACAGGTTAAATTATTTGAAATCCCTGGTAACATAATCTAAAATACAATGATTTCTGCTTAGTATATATCCCCCAACACTTTGTCTCTATCAACGTTGCCTCATTTCTTACTTTGCTCAAAGTATCATTACTATGGCTGCTAAAGGGCTTCTCTCTTGACTCATACTCAATGTTTCTATTTTCCCCAAATATTCTTGGTAAATATCCTCCTCAGATCTCAGATGTATCATTTGTCCTGAGTTTGGAGCTAGAGTGTTGTGTCTCGTCAGATTTGTTAGTATTATTTCTCTGTTTAGTTCATATCGTCAAGTCCGCGTCTGCTAACCCTTTTTTGTTGTCTGTCATATCCTGTTTTACTTTGATAATCTCCTCTCTCATATCAGGTAGTTCGACTCCTACCCATGTGTGTTAACTGACCTGATTACCTCCCCGGCCCCGCCCTTATTGTTTGCACCTGAGCCCCTTGTGTTTGTATTTATTCTGTGTTTTCTCTGTGCCAAGTGCCAGATCGTTTCGACCCTTATGATACTTGTCAGCCAGTTGTTATCTGAGCTACAGTGAATTTAAGTTAGTTTTTTGTAAAGTAATTTTTTGGAGTCCTTGCTTTACATGAGTGTTTGTATTGCCTTGCTTATCACCTTAAGTAAATTCATTTTTTAATCATCTTTTGTCTGGAGTCGTGCATGCCCCAGTCGTAACATAGAGGGACGACCATGGTTTGTTGACTGTAGACCTTTATTTGTTCACTTATTTTATGTTATTTTTTAAAATACTGTTACTTATTGTTACCACCTTGATGTGTACTCTTTTTTAATTGTGTAATTTCTTTTTTATATATTTTATGCATGCCTCTTAATTAATATTTGTCTCTTTTGCCTCTATACTTTTGCTGGAATGTACATTTCCCCTCTGTTGGAAGAATAAAGGTATTCTGATTCTGACATGGTTATTTGGGACACAATCATTTGTATAATATCCTGATATTGCACACAAGAACAACGTCTAACAAGAATCATTCACAAATGAAGACATAACTTCATGTCTGAGCTTTTTATGTCTTGGTGTTTGTGAGCGTGTAAGCTAAAAATAAGATATTTTCTTTCAGAAGACGGTGGAGAACAAAAAGAGTTCCAAGAAAGTTACGATTTACAAGCCAATTCAATTAAATATGCTTTATCGACATGTTTGCAACCAGAAAATATTGCAAAGTCATAATGAGATTATAAAAATAGAGTTAATACTATGAAAATCAAGAAAATAGAAAATGTATAAGAGACTGGAAATGTGTGTGTGTGTGTGTGTGTGTGTGTGTGTGTGTGTGTGTGTGTGTGTGTGTGTGTGTGTGTGTGTGTGTGTGTGTGTGTGTGTACCCGTGCTGCTGTAGAAGGCCAGGCGAGACGTGGTGTGGAACTTCTGGATGAGGAACTGAGACAGAGAGATCTTGTCGTCGGTGCTCAGAGACTCGTCCCCGCTCTTCCAGTACAGCATCAGGTCTTCATCTGTGTAGGCGTCTGGACACCACAGCAACCAATCAGATTCACTCTTAGATGCAATAACGCATCTCCAACAAAGCTCCTAATAAATGGCTCATAACAAATTGTTGTCCATTTTTATGAAACAGCCTAAACTATTTGTCAGTTCCAACTGCTATGTCATTTATGAGCTCATTCCCTTCTATTCATTTAAACATATCAATATATTTAAACATGATACTTTATAACCATTTTGATATCTGAATGTCCTTTTTTTTTAGTTGGGACACTATTATGCTCATTCTCTTGTGTGGGAGAGAAACTCCCACACATGAGGGAACACAGGGATGTTATCCTTGTTTGCAGACCATTTACATGCACAAAAACCTATATAACACTTTACAGGGAAGCAGGCAGTGGCGGCTCCAGAGTATTTTTCTTGGGTAATCTATGGTAGGGATAACCCATACAGTGGTGGGGCTCAAGCCAGTATTTGCAAGGCAATTACATACACGCTATTTCGCCCCCTTGACAGTGAAACGCCACGCGTGAGGTTTAGATTATTTCCCCGTCTCCTTTTTTCACCAAAATTACATCGAGAGCAACAGGTGTGAGTTAAACCAGTGGTTCTCAACTGGTCAAGCCTCAGGCCCCACTTTTTAAACCCACATCCTCAACATTGTTTGTGCCATGCAAGGCAGATGATATCCCTTCACAGAACTATAGTATGCTTTTTAAACAAGTTTAAACTGATGATGGTCTTCAAAATTGAACTGTATGAAATAAAAAGGCACATTTGTCTTGTAGTAAATAAAAAGGGCGACCTGGAGCCAATCCTGCAATTTCCCCACAGGTGAAAGAGTTGACATGCTGAAAACCCAACCCCTGCAGGGGGGTCTGGGGGGATTCTCCCTCAAGGAGATTTTTTGAAATACTAACATAAAATACACATTCTGGTACTCTCTTGAGAAGAGAAATAAATAAATCTATTACTACACGACATATTTAAAAAAATGAATGCCATTTTAGTTTTTTGTTACTTTGTTCTGAAAGCTGAACCTGCTGCTCCTCAATCCGTGTATCTACTGACCATTTGTTTTTCTTTATTAAACAAGTAAACGGAAGAGCGTCTGAGAGGCCTTTTTGCTTTTTACCTTACTAACTGGTCTAATGGTCATTGGAGCGAGGGGCGGGGCCAAACTCACAGAAGTGATTTCAAAACCAAAGCACTCGTGTGCTTGGAACGGTGATAATATTATAAACAAGGGGAAACTAGGTGAATTTAGCGATCACAACGAAAACGGCCCAGACACAGATTGAACCCAGAAAATGAATGTTATTACGGGCTGTAAATAATAAGCCTTTGTCTAAAATGGACAACATTGTTAGGAGATTTAAACTATGCAGCGATTCTGTTTGTCTCGAGTTTGTTATTACTTTTTCTGCCATTAGTTATTCTTGAGATTGACACTGTTGGACTCTGTACTCGTGAAACTACTCCCACAAGTACTATGAAATACTTTTACTGTGTACTTTTTGAGTAATCCTCTGTCAATATCCCCTCCTGAGAACAAGAATGCATGTTTCTTTACTATTTTGAATAAGCGTTAAACAACCTTTCTTCCTGAGACTGATATTGTTGGACAGAGTATTTTAAGAGGATGGTGGACATGATATCAGCAATACTTCCAGTCAGTACTCCGGCAGCAGCATTTTACCCCTTGGAACGTCTTTAGAGTCTGGCCTGGATAGCTGGTCACAACTATCCTTCAGCAAAGTGACACACTCATGTGACTCTTGTTGGCCTCTTATGGAGCTGCTGTCTTTTAAATAGGATTATTTCTCTGCTCCAGTTCATTCCTCACAGATTCTTCCATCAGTCCCAGTCATTGCATGTCAGTCAATAGAGCTTCGAAAAATGTGTCCATTTCAACAACATGTTTTTTTGTGAGTGAAGGCCAGAGCTAAATTATAGATTGTTTGATTGTGTAATTACAAGGTGAGAGAAAATAAATGGAAGTGTGCTGGAGGCGTTGACTGGGACTGATGAAAGGATGAGACTGAAGAATCTGCGAGGAACGAACTAGCGGCTGAGAAATAATCATATATTAAAAGACAGCAGCTTCATAAGAGGGCAACCATGTGACAGAGTGTGTCACTTTGCTGAAGGATAGTTGGGACCAGCTATCCAGGCCAGACTCTAAAGACATTCCAAGGTGTAAAAATGCTGCTGCCGGAGTACTGACTGGATGTATTGCTGATATCATGTCCATATCCTCTTAAAAATACTCTGTCCAACAATATCAGTCTCAGAAATAAATGTTTTTTAACGCTTTTTAAAAGAAAAACATGCATTCTTGTTCTCAGCAGGGGACTTTGACAGAGTATTTCTAAAAAGATACACAGTAAAAATACTTCAATGTATTGTTAGTAGTAGGCTAACTAATACAAAGTAAAACATTATCAATTTCATTAAGAACTAATGGTAAAATTGTAGTTGTATCATTCATCAAAGATAGCAGAAAACATGCATGATGTACTATGGAGGGGACTGACAGAGGATTACTCACAAAGTACACAATAAAAGTACTTCATTTTATTTCTGGTAGCAGTCAAACTAGTACCGAGTCCAAGAGTGTCAGTTTTATTAAGAACTTGTGGTAAAGAATATTTGTATCACTCATTGAATATAGCAGGGAAAAAGATGAAGAGCAGCTGATTTGAAAAAACAAACTCGAGAGACGGCGGAGTTGACCGCAGTGCAGAATCGCTGTATTGTTTAAATCTGTTGTCAAGTTTAGACACAGGCTTATTATATTTACAGACCTTAATAACATTAAGTTATCAACAACTGTTTTCGTTGTGATCGCTAAATTCACCTTGTTTATAATATTATCACAGTTCCAAGCAAACGAGTGCTTTTGTTTTGAAATCACTTCCGTGAGTTTCGCCCCGCCCCTCGCTCCAATGACCATTTGACCATTCAGTAAGGTAAAAAGCAAAAAGGCCTCTCAGACGCTCTTCCGTTTACTTGTGTAATAAAGAAAAACAAATGGTCAGTAGATACACGGATTCTCCTCACAGAGAGAAGAGGGAAGAGGCTGTGAATGACTTTACATTGTGGATAAGGGTGGATAGCCCCCATTGTTCTGTGTGTCATAATGAAAGACAGCCCACACACCTACCAATCATCAAACCGTGGGGTCTCATTACGTAATGTTGTATCCATGGATGTATAAAGAGTAGTTCTACCGCACAATTATTCTCCGTCGGGACTTCCTGCAACAACACCACGCCGTTATCGTGATTCTGATTGGCCAGAATACATTAGCAAAGATGTTTTATTGAGAAGACGATCACTACGTGACAAAAGTTTTCAAAACCGTTTCTAGTCTTCTGCATTTCCAGATCCAAATCAATCTTACTAACTGCTGTCTGTGCAATTTACTCGGCGCAAGTTGGTGGACTTTATTTTGCTTACTTTAACATCATTTTTCATGGTGGGGCTAAGGCGGGGCTAAGGTGGGGCTAAGCCATTTCTTGGTATGGCTGTAGCCTACCCCAGCCATACCCTGGAGCCGCCACTGGAAGCAGGACAGGGCTTCTTTAAGTAGTTAACCTGCAGGTACATAGGAATAGCTCTCCATTGTAATCTGTAGGTGGTCCGTCTGTTTTTAGAGTCAAGACATGCATTGACTAGATGAACATGTGTTTTTGACCAGTCTAAGAATCAGTTAAATACTGTATGCCCAGAATAGCTGATGGCATACAATGTGCCGGCAGACTTGATTCACTTGTTTGGGTTTTTTTCATTGGCCATGCATTTTAGTAAACTTGCAGCATGGTATGCAATCTGTTCAAGTTTAGAGAAGCTTGTGTTTTCCAGATTACATTGATTTACAATTAATGACTTACTTCACCTATTTATATAGTGGCAGACTGCCTTTAACTGTATTTCTGCTTAATAAATAAAAGCAGTTAACACGTGTTGTAGGAGCATGACAGTCCACTGTTGGTAATATAGGAATGTATATGTGTGTGTGTCCCTGTCCTAATTTTGTGTTTTTTTTTTTTTCTGGTTTACAGTCTGTCCTCATTTCAAATATCTGTACTGACAGTTTGCGTTAATCCCTATAAATATTCAAACGGTCCTACCTCTACATGAAGTTACAAAATAACAGATTATTTATTCTTTGATAACAAGATCAATTAAACAGAATGTTAAAGCATGAGTTGACATGTTTCCCGTCATGATCCTATACTTTATCTTTTGCATTGCAGAAAAAAACTTTAAAAATGTAAATATTTTGAAGCAAAAGCAGAAAATCTTCACATTTAAGAATTTGGAACTGTGAAATCTTTTTTTATAAAAAAGTAAATTGCTGCCACTTCATTTTCAACAAACCCACCTATACTGTATGGTATTACTTACTTGAATATAATGTTGGATGGTTAAATCTATAGCAAATATACATATTTTATACGTTTTTTCCTAAGTATTGTGTGTACAAATAATAATTGATAAAGTAACTAGTAAATACATAATAAATAAACTACATGTATTGGAATGAAAAGTATGAAATTTGCTCCAAAATGTAGAGTAGAAGTATAAAGTAGTAAAAAATGAAATTACTCAGGTAAAGTACAAGTACTTCAAATTAAGTACAGTACTTGAGCAAATGTACTTAGTTACTTTCCACCACGGTCTAGTGATATGGCAGTGATTTGGCCCCCCCTTGAATGGAAGTAAAACCATGTGACCTCTTGTTTTGATCGGGTCCCTCACAGGAAGAAGCCTTTATGATTTGAGAAGCAGAGAGGTACTCACAGCTCTCCAGCTCCAGGGAGCAGGTCTGAGAGTCCAGAGGGAAGCGGCTGAAGTCCATGTTACAGGCTGCTGTCACTGTCACTCTGTCCAGATGAGACACAGAGACACACAGTCAACAGGGTGTTACGTCATGATGTCACTCAGTGTCTCAATGTAATCCAGGGGTGCCCAACCAGCCGATCACGGGGAGATTCCTAGTCGATCACGAGATGTGTCTAGTAGTGATGTGTCGGTCGCGAACGAGCCGGTTTTTGTTTTTTTGTTGTTAAGTAATACAAGACAGAATGATATGATGATCTCCGCGCGCTGCTCCGTGCATGCATGCAGTGACATGTAATATTCAAGGATTAGAGACTGTTGGATGCTGCTGTACTGAGCATTGCAATATATTTATTTTCACTGTTATTTATTTATGATTATAGCTCAGCAAAGATTTGATGTAAGCTGCTGCTGTCTTTTTTTCTATAGTTAATACTGAAATAGAGCCCGGCTGTTTTGTCAGGGCCTTTTCTTTAAATATAATTTTAAAATGTCGATACAGTAGCCCCTTTTTTTAAATGTCTATGCTTAAGTTTGTATAGGTGTTGTTGCTATCTGCTTTGTGTAGCGTGGTTCTACAAGCAAGTCAGTGCATGCATTGGGTGGTATCAGAGAGTTACACGGGTCTGTAAATGCAATGAAAACATTCGGCCACAGTAAATTACATTACATTACATTACATGCCACTTGTTAGACGCTTTTATCCAAAGCGACTTACATACTCAATACTGTGGGCAATTCCCACAGGAGCAATTTGGGGTGAAGTGTCTCAGGGACACAACGACATGCTGACTGCAGTGGGGTTTGAACCTGTGACCCCCTGATCCGAACACCAACGCACAACCCACTGCACCACACGCTTTCGAAATCATTTAAACATGTAATTTTTTACTTTTGAATACTTCAGTACAAAGGATGTATTGAATAATTTAATTTATATATGTGTACACAGTCAAAACAGGGCTACATTTGATTTAATTAGAAAAGGTATAATAATAGGTATGGGAGGTGTGTGGCGCAGTGGATAGAGCCTTGGTGTTGGGATCAGGGGGTCACTGGTTCAAAGCCCACTGCAGTCAGCATGTCATTGTGTCCCTGGGCAAGACACTTCACCCCAAATTGCTCCTGTGGGGATTGCCCACAGTATTCAGTATGCAAGTCGCTCTGGATAAAAGCGTCTAACAAGGAACATGTAATGTATAATATGTGATAAACTGAAGAGCCGTTTGGGAGCCGAAAGAGCCGGCTATTCTTGGTGAGCCGAGCCAAATGATCCGGCTCACCAAGAAGAGCCGGAATTCCCATCACTAGTGCATAGGCGGCGCGTGAGGCTCAGGTTTGGGAAGGCTAAATAACTTTTTTTACCTGACGCTGCCCGCCTCCGGCGTCTATAGAAAAGAGATCAACTCTCAGTGAAAGCACCGCCTGCTGACCGATCAGAGCTCAGTGTGCGGAGTTTAAATCTATCAAGTCATATTACAGGATAAAGGAAATACAGTTTAAACTGCAGTATGCAGAGAAGACGCCGACGTGTCGCACTTATCATTCATATTACATCATCAATCAGATCATCGATCATATAATATCATAATATATCATATATTTCCTTATCTAAGTCAGCTTCTCCAGCCGTATCTGGCCGTGCAACACTTACATTGTCACATAGCCTACTGTATGCAGAAGTATTATTTTAAGCAACACATTAAGTTTACGAAACACTCAACTCAAATGTAATTATGTTAATTATTTAATTATTAAGTCAGATCACTCGTGTCTTAGATGAGGCAGTGATATCATAAACCTGTTAATGTAGGCCTACGCATTCAAACAATCAAACACTCTGTAGTTTATTTATTTTTTAACCAGCTGTTCTGTATTCACCTTGCATGTGCAAGGTGAATATGTTGCTTTTATCCTGGATAAAGTGTTTAAGTCATGGATATTTAAAGTTGAACTTCTTCATATTTGTCTAATATTATAGTTTCATTTTCATTAATGATGTATGACGCTGCGCTGTCAGTACGCTTGTCCATGTTTGTGATTGGTCAAATGTTGCTAGCCCCGCCCCTTGAACGCGTTCTCAGCCGGACAGAGAAACCCTGGGTTGATTTACTGAGTTGATAACCAGCGTCGTAGGACCGCTTAGCGAGATCTCGTTTGTTAGGATTAGTTAAGATAACTCAAACATATCCAGGGTATGTTGAACTGGCTTCGTAGTACAGTTTACTGGTGGCTGCATAGCAGCGCTAATGTCAAAGACACAAACATAATACATTATATTTAAATGTTACCAGGATGCAGTGACACAACTATTTGGGAAGGCCTACACTACAGTACCCACCGCCCCTGCACTAGTGTCTAAAAATAGAACAACAATATTCTGTTTTATCGTTAATGTCCTGTAACATAATCTTCCTGTGCCAGAATAATGCACTTGAACGCATCAAAGCTTTGTGATTGGCCGGCGTGACCCCATGTGTCGGGCGTGGCTGGTGGGCAGTGGGCACTATTTCGCTGACGTTGTCCGTGTCAACAGGAGTGACAGTCCGCACACACACAAGACCGCAATTATGGCAGAAGCAAAAAAGCCCAAAATATATAATTTTCACTCCGAGTGGGAGGATGATTATTTTTGTATCTATTCCAATTCAAAGTCCATCTGTCTCATCTGCAATGCGAGCGTGGCTTTATCGAAGAAGGGTAATTTAGGAGCGGCATTTCAAAACAGTGCACAAACGCTACGAGACGGAATTCCCTCCTAATTCTGCCCTACGCTCCAAAAGGGGAGGGGCCTGAAAGGACAGCTAAATGCACAGCAGTCCATTTTCACCAGGCCCAACAACAAGAGCAAGGCTGCTCAGTGGCGGTTCTAGACCAATTTGACTGGGGGGGCCACTGGGGGGCCAGTTATTTTCTGAGGGGGGCACAATAAATGCAGGACGAAAAAGAGAACTAGACAGTATGAAGTAATTGCGCATAAGAAAACAATGCAATACAGTTATTGGTATTTGTTTCAGTACACTTATTTATTTCAGATAGATCTTATAGTTATTACTGTTAGCTTCAGCTTAAGTTATAGTGCAATGTTTGCACTAACACCATATTTATATAAAAATAAAGGCAATGAACAGTTACATCTCTACTTTACATAAGGGTGTCTGCACAATCTCACATTACAGCAACAAAATCCTGCGGTTTTTGGCAAACCGAGTACCAGAAAATATACATTTAAAAAAAACAAAAAACGTTTCATTGTTAGGGGGGCCACAGGGGGGTCAGAGGTCAGTGTTAGGGGGGTCAGAGGTCAGTGTTAGGGGGGCACTGCCCCCCACCCTGCCCCCCCCTAGAACCGCCCCTAAGGCTGCTACCATAGCATATTATCGTGTCAGTCACGTTCTTGCGAAACACATGAAGTCTTTCAAAGACGGCGAAGTTGTGAAAGAAGCATTCCTGGAGGCTGCCGACGTGCTTTTGGGGGACAGTCAAAATAACAGTAGCATTTCAACAGGTTATTGATATAATAAAAACTCAAGTTAGATACCGTTATTAATCAGCTGTAAGTTTATTTTGTTTGAACTTATTCATTATAATTATTGTACAAAATGGTATAAGAATGCAAACTTAAATTGATTATAGTCTATTATCGATTCAGGTTAAGAAACTAGTGTTGCTTGCATCCTATTTTAAAGGCATTTATTTTTATACTCGACTAAAATGCAACAAAAAAGGGTTTGATTCTATTAATTTAGTCTTTTTTATTGCACTTTGGCAGCAGATTCCTGTGTAGCTTCAGATCTGAGTTGTCTTATTAGTAAGCCGAATTTATACTTTTGTAGCAACACTATTTTTATATAATGGCAAAGAAAGGGTTCAGAGTCTTTTCTTTTTTCCCTGTGTGATATCTGGCAGCACTGTTCAATGTTTCTTGAAAACATTACCACTGTAGTATGTGACGTGTGAATAAACTCTGTATCAACAACACTGTTGTGTAACTTCAGTTGAATACTTGTATGTGTGTAGATTAGAAAGAGGTAAGATAAAGGATCTGCAGTATTTTATGAAGTATTAATTGTACAAATGTGAGTTTTATACAAGTAGAAGTGTGTATTTACCTGGTAGTAGGCTGTCAGTAATGGCTACGCCTCTCTATTTGGACTGGTAGATCTCGGCAGACTGGCAACTTTAAAAGTAGCTCTCGGTTCAAAAAAGGTTGGGCACCCCTGATCTAATCAAACAGTGACTGGAAAAGACCTCCATTATTATCTTGTGTGAGTCTTTTCATTGTTTTCTGTGACCTGGGTAAAAACATCTACTTTATGTTATCTTTGAATCTTTGGCACTGAATGACACATTCATCTGGACAGGGCAGAGACCACAGGTCACATGATGTTCTTCTCTCAACACGTAGGAAGAGTCTGTCTATTTACAGCAAACTGTGATCGGGTTCCCACTCCCGCCTGAACCCACCTCATGTTATAAACTCAGGATCCATTTTTACTTCTTGTATTTTAAAAAAGCTCAATCATTTAACTGTTTCTATTGTTAATATTTGAAGTATTTCTTTGTGTGCATCATCACTCCTCCAGGGGAGTCCATCTTTATTTGTTTATGAGCTTGGACTCTTTTTCTGCAGGGACATTTGATTTCCTCTTAACCTCTGTATTTCAGATCAGTTTTAAACTTGTTCATTATAACAAATTCCCTAATTGTTGACCTTTAGCTCTGTCTGCTGTTTTGTGTCGGCACAGCTTCACATTAGAAATCATTATAAACTTTTCAAAGTCACACCACGCACGCCTGTGACACACATCTAGCTTAACCGAGTCAGAATATCAAGTGGGTTTACACACGCAAGGAATTTGCATTGATGCCTATGGTGCATACATAAGAGAAATAAAGTAGCAAAAATAGAACTATTATAAAAAGCATTTTAAAATCTATTATAAAATTAACAAATATAGAGAAATATTTACATAGACTTCAGACATTTATTGACGTATTTTATGCCTTACAACAAAATATGAAATCTTCTTAAGCTATTGTCACAGACCTTATTTCAGGCATCAAACCAAAAACACATTTAAAGAACGGGAAGTGGTAAATGCTAACTCATTTATGGGTTTTAGGACTCATTCCTGCACTGCCCTATTTTGTTAAAGGTTTTGCAGTTAGCAGTCTTGTTGATATATTAGAAAAACTGCAGAGAAATTTGTTTTTTTGTGCTATATGTAACTGTTGCTAATAGAAGACTTTACATTAAGTATGACATGCAAACATAACATTTTTGTCGCTCTGAATGACACTTCATGTGAGCCTTTGCTACCTACAAACACACATACATAAAACATCACAAACCAGAATTATTGTATTGAATGTCCAATAGTGAAACAAACAATGTATTGGCGAGTCCTTCAATTACCAGGGTCTGTTGGAGGATGGAAATTCTTTCTGAAATTACCACTTTACAGACACAAGGTCCCTGTGGCAGCATCACAACAGGGCCTCAGTCTGAAGGAAAATCACTTTGTGTCAACATTGTTTGACACAAATGAAACTATTCCAATGAAGTGTTTTATTCCAGAATGTTATTCCTGAGAGAGACCCTGAAGTAGCATTGACATGAATAATCTCTAATAAACAGAGACTAGGAAATTCCTTTAGGCTTAGCGGAGCGACCCACTTTATATTAAACAGAAGGAGATAATAAGGCCGCAAAATGAAGGACTTTTACCACAAAGATAGTCATGTTTTTCTGACTCATATGTGGTCTAAATCATGGGGGATTTTGAAATCATCTTAAAATTGATATTTGGTGTCATGGAGTGTTATCTGTTCTTTGTTTCAAGATCAAATAGTGGTTTTGCATGTTAAGCTAATCAAGCTAACAATACAGCACAGCTTACTGCAAACTATGCTTTTAGTTTTAAGCCAATAAAGGACAAAACTTTATGTTTTCTTGGGTATTATTAATACTTGGAATTTAACAGCTAAGAGCAACCGTTTAATCATATAATTTCCTATGAGGGAGGTATTCCTATATTATTAATATGCTTCTCTGGGTTCCTGTGACCAACATTCAGACGGTGAAATGCTACACACCTCAAGCTGTAGAGGACATGTCCGTCAGGAAAGACCCGCAGCATGATGTTCTCCGTGGTGGTGTCGTGGATGAAGGACCTCTTGGAGTGGACGAAGAAGACATCAGGGACCCAGATCTTCTTCACCAGACGGCCATCGAACGTCATGCTCTTATTGGTGCTGCTGGTGAACGACAGGCGCTCGTCCTTCCAGTAATGCCTGAGGTACAGGGTCATCGTGAAGTCCTGGTGGGGTTTAAGGAAAGAGGGATTAAACGTGACATCTTTATCTGTGAACCTGGTATTATTTTTGTCAAAAACAATGACTTAAAGACTCATTATGTTTGAAGTTTCTCAATCTTTGTCATATCTGTTTTTACTTCCTGTCTTTGTTTATTTTCCAATTTAAATGATGTGTCCTCTTCCATAGAGTTGTGCAGGGATGACATATTTTGGAGGAATTTTAAGCAGTGCAAAAAGGTGACAAAAAGCTATGGAATTTGGGGCATTTTGGAAGAAAAGATATCTGGCAAACACTTATACTTATAGGTTTTGATCATAAGTATAATCTCCATATATTAACACCACTTTTTGGATGTTTGAAGCATTAATGCAAAGGCAAAAGTGAAAAAGCTAACGTTAGGCTAGAAACTAACTACATAAACATCACATTAAGCAATGCTAAGCTAAAGGTGACTAATGTCAACTGCCATTTTTAAGACACATAGAAGCTTAGACATTCACCAGTGGGGTATTACTGATGTATTTTATGTCGTAAATCAAAACTTGAATATATCTTAATCTTGTGTGAACCAAAAACATAATGTCAGGCTTCTAAACAAAAACATGACGAGGGAACCAGAAGAATCAGAATCAGAATACCTTTATTAGTCCCACAGAGGGGACATTTGCATCATTACAGCAGGAAAGAGCCACAGACAGCTTAATGTTACATATGTTAAAAAAAAGTACTAAGTTATGATATAATACAAAATATAATAAAAAAATAAAAAAATAAAACTTTTCAAAATGCAAATCCTGTAACAGTTCTTAGGATTTAGCAGCCAGGTATATATTACACAGTTATTAATGGCATGTATATATTGCACATACACTGAACACAAATATAAACGCAACACTTTTGTTTTTGCTCCCATTTTTCATGAGATGAACTCAAAGATCTAAAACATTTTCTATATACACAAAATAACCATTTCTCTCAAATATTGTTCACAAATCTGAAAAAATCTGTGATAGTGAGCACTTCTCCTTTGCCGAGATAATCCATCCCACCTCACAGGTGTGGCATATCAAGATGCTGATTAGACAGCATGATTATTGCACAGGTGTGCCTTAGGCTGGCCACAATAAAAGGCCACTCTAAAACGTGCAGTTTTGCTTTATTGGGGGGGTCTGGGGAGGTCCGAAAACCAGTCAGTATCTGGTGTGAGGGGTAGGGGTAGGGTTAGGGTTAGGGTAATGTTGTGAATCGAGTGGCCTGTGTTCGTCGTCCATAACATACGCCTGCCCATACCATAACCCCACCACCACCATCGGCCACTCAATTCACAACATTACCCTACCCCTAACCCTAACCCTCACTCCAGATACTGACAGGTTTTCGGACCCCCCCCAATAAAGCAAAAATGCACGTTTCAGAGTGGCCTTTTATTGTGGCCAGCCTAAGGCACACCTGTGCAATAATCATGCTGTCTAATCAGCATCTTGATATGCCACACCTGTGAGGTGGGATGGATTATCTCGGCAAAGGAGAAGTGCTCACTGTCACAGATTCTTTCAGATTTGTGAACAATATTTGAGAGAAATGGTTATTTTGTGTATATAGAAAATGTTTTAGATCTTTGAGTTCATCTCATGAAAAATGGGAGCAAAAACAAAAGTGTTGCGTTTATATTTTTGTTCAGTGTAGTTTGATGGTATTTAACAGCAGCAAGTTACACAATTTAAAAATACAAAATGCAAAAAACACACCTTGTAAGAATTCTAAGGATTTAGCAGCCAGGTATAAATTACACAGTTATTAACGGCATATATATATATTGCACATATTGCACATAGTTGATTGGTATTCAGCAGCAAGGGGTGATATAGTCTGTGTTTTGGTGTGTGTAGGGGAGGGGGGGTCTACTTGGGGCTGTGCTAGTTGTACAGTCTGACCGCTACAGGAAGGAAGGACCTGCGGTATCTCTCCGTGAGACAGCGGGGGTGCAGCAGCCTGTCGCTGAAGGAGCTGCACAGTGAGGACAGGGTGTCCTGGAGGGGGTGGGACATATTTCACAATCTCAATGTCCGCTCCCTGGATGTTCACTGGTGTCGGGGGGAGTGTTGGCGCCGTCTGAAATCCACCACCAGCTCCTTGGTCTTCGCTGCGTTGAGCTGGAGGTGGTTCCTCTGGCACCGGAAGGTGAAGTCCTGCGTCAGCTCCCTGTCGTCCTCGTTGGAGATGAGGCCAACGATGGCGGAGTCGTCAGAGAACTTCTGCAGGTGACAGGTATCGCTTTTCAAAAGAACGATGCAATACAACTGAGATCAGCTCAAAGAGAACTAAAGGGGAAACTTCAAGAAGCCCGAGAGCAACATAGTCTGAGTGTCCGAGAGGCTTTCTCAACCAAGAACTCGAAAGAACTGTGGGACTCTGTTAAAGAAATTACAAATCTGAACTCCGGCAAGAGGGAGATGCATGTTCTGGATGAGCTTACCAAAGCAAATTAACTTAACAACTTCTACAAACGTTTTGATATTAATTATGCTTCTAACATTGATGCATCTAATAACTTGTCAACCTCTTTAACCTGTGACCCAATACACAATAGAAGAAGAATAATGGATGATAGTGCTGTGGCCAGGGTTTTCAAACAACTGCATACTAAGAAGGCCAGTGGGCCAGACGGTATTTCGGCACTCCTGCTGAAAACGTTTGCAGACGAGCTCACCCCTGCCTGGTGTCCATTATTCCAGCTCTCTGCTGACTCGGGAAGCATCCCTCAAATATGGAAGAAAGCTGTCATCATACCAGTTGCAACAAAAACATGCCCACATGACAACAATGACTTCAGACCAGTGGCTTTGACCTCAATAGTTATGAAGTCACTAGAACGGACTATTGTAGGGAACCTGCGAACTGAGGTGCAACACCTCTCAAACTTAATGTGGAGTCGGTGTGTAGATATGCTAAAACAATGTCGGACACCGTAATCTTCTCTGGTCCCCTCCCCAATCTGATCAATGATGACATGTATAGCCGCATGTCATCATTTCAGCGCTGGTTGTCTTGGTGGTGCCCAGCAAACAATGTGGGCTTCGTAAATAATTGGACAGCCTTCTGGGGAAAACCTGGTCTGATTAAGAGAGACGGCATTCATCCTACTTTGGAAGGTGCAAATCTCATTCCGGCAAACATTTCAGGGCTTTGTGGACTTAATCCATGACAAACTGGAGTTGAGACCAGGAGGCGGAGTCGCAGTCTTACACACTTCTCTGCGCTCTCTCCTAGGCAGTCATCCATAGGAATCCCGAACCCAATAAAATACCCAATATTAGCGGTGTGTGTGTCTGCCCAAGGACAAGTTAAGGTAAAACCTAATAGAGGTGTCATAAATAATAACCTAATAAAAGTAAATGTAACAACTACTACAGTGCAACAAAACAGGAAGATTAAATGTGGTCTCTTAAACATAAGATCTCTAGCATCTAAAGCAATATTGGTAAAATATTTAATATCAGATTATAATATTGATATATGCTGTCTCACTGAAACTTGGTTGAGACATGAAGAATATGTCAGCATAGATGAGGCCACTCCACCCAGCTATATCAATACTCATATTGCCCGAGGCACGGGCCGAGGAGGTGGAGTTGCAGCCATCTTTGACTCAAGTTTACTTATCAATACTAAACCAAAATTAAATTATACCTCCTTTGAAAGTCTCGTTTTTAGTCTTACGCATCCGACCTTGAAAACTTATTTGTTACAGTGTACCGTGCACCAGGTCCTTATTCAGAATTATTATCTGAACTCTCTGAGTTTTTATCAACTTTGGTACTTAAAACAGATAAAGTAATTATCGTAGGTGACTTTAATATTCATGTTGACGATGATAAAAATAGCCTTACTGTTGCATTTAACTCTATATTAGATTCTGTTGGTTTTTGTCAGAGTGTAAATAAACCAACCCACTGCTATAATCACACTCTTGACCTTGTTCTGACTTATGGTATTGAAATTGAGCAACTATTAGTCGAACCGCATAATCCTGCTTTATCCGACCATTTCTTAGTAACTTTTGAAGTACTATTACTAGACTACAAAGCATTAGTCAAAAGCTCCTGCAGCAGAAACCTATCTGTTAGTGCTATAGCCACATTTAAGGAAGAGATTCCATCAATACTTAACTCGATAGCATGTCTGCATGTAAGGGAGGAAACTTATACAAAATGTACACCACCCCAAATTGATCATGTTGTTGATAGTGCTAGAGATGCGCTGCGAATACAATTAGACTCTGTTGCTCCTTTGAAAAAGAAGAAAATAAAACAACATAGATTAGCTCCATGGCATAATGCCGAAACCCGCAAAATAAAGCAAAAGTCGAGACAACTTGAAAGGATATGGAGTTCCACTAAACTTGAAGAATCTCGTTTAATTTGGCATATTACTCTCAATGAATATAAGAAAGCACTGCGTAAAGCGAGAGCAGCTTACTACTCTTCATTAATAGATGAGAATAAGAATAATGCAAGATTTCTTTTCAGCACTGTAGCCAGGCTGAGAGAGAGCCACAGCTCGATTGAGCCTTCTATTCCCATAGCACTCAGTAGTAATGATTTGATGTGCCTTTTTAATGATACAATTGTTACTCTTAGAAACAAAATGAATGACCTCTTGCCTTTGACCAGTATAGTGTTATCAACAGCTCCCGGAAACGTAAGTTCTAATATTACACTAGATAGTAAACTAGAATGCTTTTCAGCCATTAACCTTGAACAATTAAATTCAATGATTCTCTCTTCTAAACCATCAACGTGCATGTTAGACCCAATTCCAACTAAGCTGTTGAAGGAAGTTTTTCCATTAATTAGCACTTCTTTATTAAATATTATGAATATGTCTTTATTATCAGGCTATGTTCCACAATCATTCAAAGTAGCAGTGATAAAACCTCTTCTTAAAAAGCACAACCTCGATCCAGAGGTTTTAGCCAACTATAGACCTATTTCTAATCTTC